TCATTGAAGAAATTTAAATAAACCAAACCATGCTGCATCAAGACAATTGAAACAATGGCTAAAAATATTTATAATTACAAATGAGATCAGTTATAATTGTTTGAAAGTCTATTTCTTCTGGAAATCAATAAACGTGAAATGAACCTGTGATACTTTTAGCATAGAAACATTCATTTAACATTGGACAATAAACTTTGGAATTTAATCATGAATAACCCCTGTCATCTCATTGGTAACGAATGAATAAGCAACCTAAAATTAATTTTAAACGCTTTTTTTTCGATAAAAGAATATATAAAAGCTTAAAATCACTGTGGGATTATGCTATTAAAGAAGACGTTACGTTATAATAACTGTAATTTATTGCTTTTTTTCATCGTTAATCATTCAAAAGCTCTGCATAATATTTTTCATCATAAATAATTAGAACTATTTTTGATAAATTCATTGGAATTGCAAATAAATTGTTGATGAAATTTTTTTGACGAATAATTAATGACAAATAAAGTAATAATGATTCTATCATTAGTAGAGAAAAATTTATTATATATAATTCTGATGAGCTAATTAACGATAACATTAACTCCGATTCATTTAGAACAAAGTGTGGTAGATAAAAGAATATAATAGGGGAAGATACAATAGGTCTGTAACAGATGATGTAGACCATAAAAACTGATGATTACATCTCAAAAATTTTTCGTTCTCAATTTGACGACTGATGAGATAAATGAAATCAGAGAGAAAGTAAATAACATTATATAAATACGTAGATTGCGTTAGAGTTGTATGATTTTAACTTAAACATAAATTTTATCAAATCACTTTTCAACTCAATCATAATAAAAGAAAATATTTTCTATGATGAAATTAAATGAAGTAGTATCAACGGAAATTGAATGTTTTACTGTAAAAGTTATATTTTTAGAATTTGAAGAATGTTAGGTATAGTTCAAGATCTACTTCAACTCAAGCAAGTATACACGCGATTCACATAAAGATTCGCATACCTTTTTTTCCATGCAAAAGTTCTTTTATCTCAAATTTTTTACTTTCAACCGTTTTTACCTCTCACATCTTTCACATCCTCGGAAATTGTTTTGAAATTGTCTCTCAACTAAGAGAAATTTCGTGATTTAAACAAAAGTCTAAAAAAAAGACTTGTTTTAAAGAGAAACTAAAATTCACACGGATGTTAATAGATGACTTGAATTAAAGATGTTTAATAACATTAATATTCTTAACTAGTCCAGTCAATATGCTTTTCAAAATGAAAGTCCGTTGAACATTAACTGATTTTGTTTATTAGGTTGTTTTTAGTGATGGCAGACATCAGTATGAATTTGTGACCACATGGCAAAATGTGCTTTTTTTGTATTAAACATCTTGAAAAAAGCGCATCGGAGATCAAGACATGATGTGTATAATTTTTTGAGATTTTCACGAGAAAAACAATGAGACCAGTCTCAGCTCTCTACGACTAATGGTTTTTGAGATATTTAATTGTTTATGTCAAAGGTACAACTGTTTCTTAAACACTTGATCGTAGCTCATCAACAAATGAACTTTTTTAAGTTTTTTTTTTTTTTAATCGGAAGCTACATTCATGTCAAATATGTCAACCAACTTGGCATTGATTAATTGTCATTACTTTTAAGATTAAAAACAGAAACATGCAAATTTGATAGAGTTTGCCATAATGCACTTTTAAATTAGGCTGTTTTTTGAAGCATATTGACTGGACTATAACCCATTAATGCCCGAATTATTTTGTTATTGGATTTTTATATTGCTTTTAATCTATTTTATTAGTTATTAGTTTAGAGGACAGGGGAAACAGTATTGTTATAGAAAAAAACTGTTTCAAAGTATAAAAACACTATGTGTTTATATGGACACACTAGGAATTCGTACATACAAAAATAACCATACGGTGAGCATTAATGGGTTAAGCTTTTTTATATACAGAGAGAATTTTTTCACTAAATGTAAATGCAAACATGACAAGTGCATATTTCGAAATTTAGAGGTAAAAATATTTCTGTTCAACAGTGAATTTTGGGTTGTCGTAAGTAATTTTTGAGTAATCCTAAGTAATTTTTTTACAAAGACACCTTTTAAATCTTAAATTTATTTACAAGAACTCAAAATTTACTATCGAATAGAAATATTTTAACTTCTAAATTTCGAAACGTCGACTTGTCACTTTTTGCACTTTAATTTAGTAAAAAAATTCTCTCTGTGTATTATAACACATCTTTTGAAAATATTTAAGCTTTTTAGAATTGACGCTTTAATACCCGTAGCTAAATAAAATAAATTCGAAAATATTCATTTAAAAACGATTCTAATGCATTCAATTTCCGCTTTTGATAGAGAAAAAAATTATTTATACTTTGAGTACAATGAAACTAAGTTTTTTGAATTATAATAATGATAAATTTACTATTAATTGTAATCTATTGTACAAATCGAATTTAAATAAAGGGCTAATTCAATTGTAAATGAACCTTTAATGTCAATGAATTAACTTAAATTGATTAATAATTTATCGCTATCTATTGACATAAATTCAGTAGTGCATATAATTTTGACATTCACATGTTAATAATAAATTTATTATGTCACGTTTAATTGTATTCTAAATTTTACAATAGAAATTAGGATGTTGGTGACTTGTTATTAATTCTGATTGACTTTTTCTGCAATTGAAGTTTCCATTCATCATTTAAGTAAAATCTATCTGAAATCACTCTAGAATTTGTTCTATTAATCAAATATTAATTGATTGCAAATTCTAATAAAACTTTTCCAATGGTTCATTAAAAAAAAAAAATAATACCATCATTTTGTAATTCTATATTTGAGATTGTCGCTTTACACAATAATTGCTTTGCATATCACGAAATTATTACTTCACAACCCAAAAAAAAAAAACGAATTATTTTACAGAAAAACATTATAAATCATAAACGTTATCCTTAATCCATATAAATTTGATTTTAAATTGATTAATCGAAAGTACAAAGTTGAAAAAAAAAAACATATATATATATTTATGAAATGCAACTATTTAAAATTTCTATGCATATTTTTCAATATTTTTTAATATCATTAAAATTAATAATAAAATTAAAAATAATAATGAACAAATAATTCAATGATCAATCCTAGTAAATTATTCATATCAATTCAATAGCATTTTATCAAAAAAACTGAATTATAAATTATATGACCCTTTTATACATAATGACACTTCAATAAGTGTGATGTGATATTTTAATGGGACATAAGAAGAAGAAATAAAATAATAAAGAAATGTAAACTGCACTATGTCAAAGGTGCGCCAGAAGGTAAACAATATGAAGTAGAATAGTAACATGCTGAGAGCTTCACAAAAGCGCTCAGGAATCTCAACGATTTAACGGACGTGAAAAATACTAAAACGAAAGAGCAAAATAATGTAGTTGATATTATTTTTTATATAATGGTGACCAAATAAACAATAATTACAATCCTAAAGATACAATATAAAATTACAATTCATGTTTTAATAGAAGAATAAACAGAATCAAGTAAAACGAGAATTTTTCATAACTTAAGAAATTTATTTTCTTTCTTTTAAACATATTTTCCTTCAATGTCTATAAGATGCGTTTGACTATTATTTCAACTGAGATTGTTCTTGATCATGAGAGAAACCATGTCACAACAAGAAAAATCCGAGTATTTATTTAATCTATTGAAAATATTGACAAAATGATAGAATGAATAAATGTTTCAGCTTTTCTATTATTCCATAACAAACTTTTTCAGTTTATTTTTAAATTAGCATTTTTTAATTCTATATAACGCAAATATCAAATAGATGCCTTGAGGTGTCAAGATCTTTTCCACAAAGAAAAAAAAATATATATTTTATATTCAAATGCAATTAAATGAGTAATTTCATTTTTCAAATTTGTTGCACCAAGAGATTCTTTTCTGAGTTTTTTTTTTTCGCCATTTATCTCTGTTTCATATAATTTCGTTAGCATGAAACTATCTGAGAACTACATTTTACATCTGCTTTCAATGCTAATTTCTTTATTGGACCGAATTGAATGTCTATGAAGGAAAAAGTGGACAAGACTTTAACTTTGTCGTTGAACCAAAGAATAGAAAATATCAGATAAGAACAATGCATTGGTAATACATTTTAATCAGTATCAAGTGAAATGTATGAATTTGTGTGACGTCATTAAGCCTCTGACACGCGCGTGATGATAGTGCACTACGTTATTTTTTTTTCCTCAGGCGAAACTTCTTTTGTCTAAGCCATATGAAGGCATACAAGAAAAGCTCGCTCTTGAATGATCAAAGAGAATGCTCATCTCTACCTGAACGAAGCTATGATGCTTCATGTAGATCGTTCGAGATTAAAATCAGACGCTTTGTCAATTATGTTAACAGAAATAAATGAAAAATAGGCAGAAAAATATAAATGAAATAAAAAAAATTTGTTTTTATCAATTAAATACTCATAAATTATTTTAAATCTAAATATTATGTTTGCAGCTGTGAAAAAAATTTAATTGGCTGATTATTTCAACTTTTACTCGAATTAAAGTTAATATGGTGGGAAAATAGTTGAAATATTGGATTGAGAATAATTTAAAGAGAAAGAGCCAACGAATATTGATTCAAATTCGCTCTATATTTTCTCGCCTGTTGCTTCCCGCGAAATTGCATTCCATTGAACTTCTCTACCGTTTATAAAACCAATGGTCAATTGTAAAATCTTGTTTGCAACGATCAATTTAACCACAAATAGAATGAACAAAATCATCAATCCTGTCATCGTTAATGAAAAGTTTTTAAAAACCTAATAAATTGAAAAAAAAAACATAAGTCCACTATTTTTCACACTAAATCACATAATAAAATTCTTGAATAATGATTAATAATAACATAAAATATTAAAAATATATAATCTAAGAATGAAAATATTTTAAACTGACCTTAAATAGTATTTATCACGTTGTTAAAAACGCTGTTGACACGAATAATGAAGTGTTTTGAGTTCCCAAGTAGTAGAAGTCGAGTTCAAGTCAGGCGCATTTCACGATGATATTGTAAGGGAAAATTCTTCTCCAAGTCCTTTCTACCGTTTTTCTTATTATTTCAGTTGGATCGTAATTCAAACGACTCAGGCTGGCAAGCAGGATCAGACTGACGCTCCGCGTGTTACGACCTGTACATAGACCGGCAACGTCGTTACGTCACGAAAGCACATAACCAATAGGCAAGTAGCTTTAACATCCTAGGGGTAGGGTAGAAAGTTTTTAGACCAATCCCCACCCCTGCAAAACTCAGCAATACGTACAGATGAGCCAGGAGCATCAGGATATCTAGCCATTGGGTTGAATGACAATCTATTGCTCATTCACTTTGTCGTCGATGTATAACATCCTACGCACAAACAAAATTTTTATGTCATTATTATAATTTTTATTATTAAAATTAAATTTTTTTTAACTTTAATTCTTGGTTAATGAGGACAATTATGGGATTTAACAAGCATTCAATTTCACTGATTTCAACAGTCATCATGGAATAATGATTTTATAAGCATTTAACCTTCGCTGCTTATGATCATTACATTATTGTTCATTTAGCTTTGTGAGAGGGTTGCTTTCTAATTTAATATGAATTTTAATTTTAATAATACGCGTAGGTAACATAAAGAAAAATTAACTAAAGGATAAGCACTTTTAGCATCAGGATAAATTGGAAGGTCACATTACTAGTTTTTAAAATATTTTTTCAAAGTAAATAGAGAATAATATAAATCTTTTAATGAATAATATCAAAATTAAAATATCTGCTGATATTTCAGAATCGTTTTAAAGATTTTATTTACAAGAAGTTAAAGTGATAAGACTTGAAGTAACTGAGAGCTGACTAGATTTTCAATGAATTTAACTGAACTATGCAAGACTAAATTTGGAAAAGTGTAAGGAATACCTAAAGCAAAAAGTTCTAGATCTTTGTTCTCTAAAGGTCAAGTAACTAAGTCTACTTAGAATTCAGCATAGTACGTAATGATAATTGACTTTACATTTGTGCAAACTCTCATTTTTTTCCATCTGAATATATAATCTTGGTAAATACAAGTAACTCGAGTTATTAATAATGACAGTCACACGTGTAATAAAAAATTCTCCCCAAAGAAAATTTGCTTACAATCATAAATCATTTATTGTAATTTTAATACTTCTTAAAATTTTTAATTCATTGAAACTTTATGAGAAAATGACAATTTTAATTTTAGTAACAAGTCAGAAAAAAGAACTATGGAAAAGTGTGTTTTAAAAGTACGTCATGTATGTTTACTTACCCTTTAATGAAAAAAAATAGTCAGTATATTATTCACTTGGACGTTATACTTTTTCGCGAGAAACGGTGAGTGTCACATCTGGTAAACATCAGAAAAATAGTAACTACTATTTTTTGATCGATCATTAAATTGTACATATATTGACATTGGATATCGAACTGTAGCCTATAAAAGAATCAAACACACGAATGAATACCTTTGCACACTTGCGCAGAATAAAAAAAATTTACTTTTTCAGAATGAAAATAAAAATAAGTCTGACGTACGAGCGGCTTCATTCATGTAGCATGAATCCCTGCAACGGGACTAAGAAAAAGACGTTAATTTCATGGTCGATTCACAACGGATGCACCTCATTATTACTGTTGAAGAAAATGTCTTCCCATAGCTTTGTTCGTATCCCTTTTGCTCTTCTCCATTTAACTATCGACCACTGAATTGTTTGTATTCGTAACATACTTTCCATTAATTTTAACGATACATAAACGATATATCGAGATTCCAATTCTTAGTTATTCAATCACAACTTGGTTTGAATATTTGAAATAGTGCATTCTGTAACAAAGTAGAATACAAAATAGTACTGAGAATTATCATCGTCTTGTTTGTCTGACACTCTTCTTAGGAGTTATTAAAGTACATTACTTTTAATTATTCGATATCCGTCGGAAGTTAAACAACCCGTGGAATCATTTATTCATGAATGTTCATTTTATTCTCCTTTATATTGAGTTTAACTTTATTTAGGAAAACTTTATGAAACAACGTCGTGAAAATGTGTCCCTTACAAGGTGCTGCAATCAATAAAATCTGAAAAAAATTGAATAAATGTAATAAAAGTAGATAAAATTAGATTTTGTATTAAGAGTAGTAATAAGTAATGGTAATTACTTTTTCACATTCATTATTGTCAGTCCTTTATAAATCCGATGGTTGAGACATTGTAGAAATAATGAATCCAAGAGTATAAATTAATGAGTTGATTAAATCATTAATAACCCTCATCATCTGGTAAATGGAAGTGATTGATAAACCATAAGTAATGCTTAATTAGTTAATATTCAATTGATAATTAATTTTACCTCGAATTCTATAAATAGATAATAGAAGTACCATCTGTGACCAACTATATCCTTTGTATTCAGGGCTATCAGATAAATCGGACACCATACAAATTCAACCCTAGAATCATTTCAAAAAATACATTGATGTTAGAATAATATTCAACACAATATAATAATGATCTATATACAACTGAATATTGTAATTTTTTAATCAAAGTCATATTACCTGAATAGGAAATCCTAATTTAAGAAGTTAATCTTAGTACACAAGCAAATGAATTGATTTTCTCTTTAGTTACCAGTCTTAAATAGATTCTTTAACATCAAAATCACCCTTAATAGCAGAAGTACTTCAATTGCTGTTTGCACAAGTAGTTGCATAATTTCTATGAATGGAATCCGTCATATTTTTTCTTAGCTATAGGGGTAAATTAACGTCACATGACTTTTCAACGTGAGTTATTGCACGTACTCCATATCCAGGAACTAACTCGACTAATATTCATTCATGTTATCCTCAAATCGATATAGATATATATCAATATTGTTCCAATTTTTACATGTTAGGATAAATGTAAGCTATAATGAGCCACCATAATATAAGTACTCAAATAATATCGTTTAATTGTAAAGCATTATTATAAGCCAACTTCCCCTATGTAATTATTACATTTAATTGCGATTGTTATCGTATAAAACATAAAATGGATTTATATTCGTTTTTTCAGATGATTTTTAATCTTTAGATTTTAACGATTATTACAAATAATTATGTTGTATTATCTAAGATAACTTATTTTATCACATAAAAAAAATTAACTTAAGAGTTTATTAATAATCTTTTATTGAATATTATTTTAATTTATTGACTGATATAAATATTAAACAACTCACTTTTGCTACGTCAAAAGTAATAGATAAGAATCCAAGCTTTTTTTCGAAGCACCATTTGGAACATCGTTGTAAAAGATCGTGTTTGTTTATCCGGACAGTGGCCGTTAAAAAATGGTTGCTCGACTGATAACATCAGTATCGTTAATTTTATCGGCAGATGGCACAGCACAGTGCTATTGTAGTTGTCGTTTGTATGCTAGATGGCATTGTAGCATGTTTTAAATTGGCGGGAAGCAATTTATTGTCAACACACGAGTTGCGTTAAAAAACACAAACAAATTACGCATAAAAATGAAAACACCTGATAAAAGTTCTATTTATTCACGATTAAAAGAGTTAATTAAGAAAGATGATAAAGACGGTGTTAGATCTTTAATTAGAGATGCTACTGTTAATGAGGTAATATCATTTATTAATGAAATCAAATGTTTTTTAGAGGTTAACTGTTTTTTAATTTTCTGTTATTAAAACAATTATTGTCAAATATTGATTTCATGTTTTGTAAAAAAAATTTAATGATATATGGCATGTAAAACATATAATGTTATTAATAATTTTAACTTTAAATTAAAATATCTTCAATTTTCAGTTAATGGAATTAATTTTACCAAGAATTGGTCATGATAATGCACCAAAAATACTTGATATGGTTTTGACGTATATTCCAACATCAGAAGTAGGACAAACAAATCGTCGTAAATTAGTAGAAGCTCTTCTCAATAAAATAATTGAAAGTGACGTCACAGGATCATATGTAGCTGTTTTGGTGAACAGAATTATTGAAGATTTTTCTAAATATTCCAAACTGCAACTTGTCAAACTTGTTGATTATTGTTTAAATAGCATAAGAGATAATAATGATCAATTTTTTTGCTGGAAAGAGATATTACCTATTTTGCTTCAAAATTTAGAAGATGAGAAATTTATTAATTACAAAGGCAGTGAAGTAACTGGAACAGAATATAAATCACTAATAATCAAATCAATATGCAATCATCCATGGGATGGAGGGATTCTTACTCCTTTAACTCAAATGTTTGCGGAAATTATGATGCAACCAGCAGATCATGGAACAGTTATTCGAGCTATATGTGATAAGATTTCCGAAATTAACCATAATGAGCTTCCTCCACTTGTGCATCAGTTATTAAAATTAAGTAATAATCAAGACGGAAGACTTGTAATTAACACATTAACAGAATTCTTCTCCAACGTTTATTCTTTAGCGTCTAAAGAGAGTCCTACTGCTTATGATATGGATAGTATTGGACAGATTAATTTAAAAGAAGTTAAAGACGCTGAAAGTACAGTATTATATCACATTCGTCAGTCAGTTTTATTGAATCATTCAAGTTTAAAAGATTTTTTACGTCATTTAAAAAACATCACAAATGCTCCAGAGTTTATATTGGATCCATTCCCTATGTCTGTGTTGCTTCTTGTATCAGACATTTATGAAGACCAGGTCTTTGATATAATCAAACATGCTCTCATCAGAAAAATTCAGGATGATGAAAGAAGAAAAGCTGCTACGTGGCTAAAAGAAATTTTACCAAGACCTTGTGAAGCTATGGATAACTTTAATAAAGTAATAGAGAACAGTTATGAAGACCGTCATTTAGTGTTAAAAGGTCTTGTAGAGTTGTCTTTCGTTCTTCTAGAAGCTAAGATAAAAGATGTTGATGATAAATTACTTCATGATATTGGTTTGAAAATCATCCAAAAATTAATCAAAAAACGACATGAAATAGGTGCGACTGTTTTGCAACACCTTACGAATAAAATCATAGCTTCAGGAGCTTCTGTTTCACAATATACTGACTGTTTATCTTATATGTGCCGTAAATCTACGTTAACAGTTCTTGATTCTCAAGTGTGGATTTCTACACTACTTGAGCAATTATTAGCAATACCTGGAGAAGCCGCAAGCCAAGTTCTTGCCGCAACTTTGCCTTTAATTAAACTGTCAGCTAACATTCGAGATACCTTAGTGTTAATTTTACGAAAGGCTTTATTTAGAAAAGGAATTCAAACCCGTCAAATGGCGGTCACAGGATTTTTACAATTTTTGATGGATTTAAAAATTGCACCTTTCAGCTTAAGTCAATCATCTTCCAACACTTCAACATCTACTTCAGGATCAATTTATACTCAAGCAACTGTTGAAAAAACTACTCCACATACTCGAAGTAATCCTCGACAAAATTCAGCGTTTTGTCTTGAAATTTTAAGTATATTGACCAGATGTTTATCACATGAAGTTGAAATCAAGCAGCATTTATATAAAGGTTTAGATGATGCTGTTTCATCTAATCCTGAATTAGCAGAACATATAATTGACATGTTACTGACCCGCTTGAATACTTACTATGAAGCTGATGAGAACATTAAACCACCTCTGAAATTTGATCAATGTTGTAATATTAATGGCCCAGAAGCAATCCTTCAAGAACCTATTGGAAACCTTATATTTGCATTGCAGAAAATTTATTGTCATGTAGCAGATAAAGACTTGCCTTGTATTGATCAGCTTAGCATGGTTCTTGAATCTTTATCAAAAAGGATGTCTCATCTCAAATTAGAGGATATAGATCTTGATGATCATATCGATTTAATGGATAATTGGCCCAAGTCACAGCAAAAAGTTTTGACTTTACAGTTAAGCATATCTGTTTGCGAAACTCTAATAGCTTATAAAATAAATTCCTGGTCTCCAGATAACGACAATGTAGCGCAGAGCGTGAATAGTCTCTTTAAAACTTACAATGACCAAGTAGAGTTTAGTAAAAAAGTTAACAAGCCAAAAAAAGTGGAACCAAAAAATAAAAAAGATAAAAATGACAGTACTTTTAAAAAACCCCGTGGGCGGCCAATGTCAATAAAAATATTTCCTACGTTGATGGATGTTCAGACTTTGAAAAAAATGATTTCTTTATTGTTTGAACCAAGCGTTCCTTGGTCTACAGAAGATCAAGCAAGTATTTTAAAAAAGCGTACAGAGTTTCACAGTTATACACTTCGTACATGCATTCAAGTTTTTCATAGAGTGAAAAATTTATGGAATTATGAACGAAGAAAACATTGTAAAAAGTATATTAAGGATTACATTGAAATTGGACAAGTTCTTTATCATAACACAATAGTAGGCTTAGATACCGTACGAGCATTAGATGAAGAAATTGCTGTTCTTTGTCTTGAATGTTTCAAAGAATTATGCGATTTAATGTGCACTGTGTTTAGTTCAGAATTGCCGATATTTCTTTCCAAAGTCTGTAAGTAACTTGATAATTTGTAAAAATTTTTAATAAATATAATAAATTATTACATATATTTATTACAGGTGATGTAGAAGTTTCTGAGGATATCGGAAATCATTTATGCAAATTGATATCATCATTACAAACTCACATTGACACTCACTATGCTGAAGAATTAGAAGAAAATGAAGGAACTAAAAAAATCCCATTAGTGTTGTTTGAAATTATATCCACACTTGCTCATAAAGCTTTACTAACCAGTGTTAAAATGAACAAAGTAACGATACTTTAAATAAATGAAATATTTTCTTTAAATAATTACAATTCATTTGGCTTCATATTATTAGAAAATGGCTAAAAATTTTTAATTTATTACAGCTCTTTGAATGGCTTAAAACAATGGCTAAATCAGATAAAATCGATGCACCTGTTGCAGTAATTATTCTTCAATTAATAATCATGATTGAAGATCGTGATGCAGAATATGGAAAAATTTTAGATGAAATGAGTTTGGAGTTATGCAAAAAGTTTGGAACTATAGATAATAGCGATCCTCCCATCACGGAGATATATAAAATATTAAACGATTCTACATTGCTACAAGCTCATACAGTATTTAATAATTCATTAAAAAATAAAATGAATAATGCAGCTTGGGCATTGGGTAGATTGAAAGCCGAGCAAATTGTTATCAACACATCTTTTATGACAAATGAGATGCTTCGTGAAAAAATGAAAGAAAAAGAGCGATGTTTATGCAAACAATTATCATACACTATCCAAACACAAGAATATTTAGCTAATGCTATAATAAATCCAGGCCCTAACACAGAACAAACTTTTAAAAACCTTCAGCAATTATATAATATTATAAATACTCTTACGAAACATTTCAGCAATAAATCTACCGCACAAAATCCTGCATTCCAAGCAGTGAAATTTATACAAGTCATTCAACTGGCTGGCAAATCACTCAAAACTACTTTTTATAATTTAATAACATTCACCGAAGAACATCAAAGTAGTGGTCGTAAAACAGATGTTCAAGCTTTGCGTAATAAAGTTTTAAAAGAAACTAAATTCATTCCAAAAGTTGTGTATGAAGTAGAACAGTTTAATAAGGAAATATTAGCACTTGGAAAGAAGACTGGAGTAAATAGTCATTTTTTTTTACATATTTTAATGTTTTATTATAAGAAATTATCGTTTATAAATATTGATTTTAGATACCACTTGAGAGTCATATTAAGCACAGTATTACACGTGACTTCAGAATAAAACAGCCTGAACTAGTTGAAGGACTTGAAAGGCTTGATATTACACAGGTATTTATTATTATTCCTTGACTAATTCAATTGATAAATAATTTACGTATAAATATTATTCTCAGATGATGACCCAAACACAACAACAAAGTTCACAAAGGCATCTTCCACTTGATGAAACACGAGAAGAAACTACAGAAATTGACAGTGATCTCATTGAAGAATCACCTCCATCAAAAAGAGCACGAAGAGATTCATCATCATCTTCAGTTTAAAATATAAATCATTGTGGCTCGTGGAAATGTGGTGGTAGTATTCCTTTTTTTATATAAATTATAATTATTTTTTCTCTGATTTTTTATGCGACAAAGTCGAGTGGTCTATTGAAACCACCTTTACGATTCATATATTGTCGATATTTCCTTTTTAATATCACATGAACTCCTCCAGCATCATTTCCTTCAACTTTTTTACCTTTAGTACTATCAAATCCACAGAAACCCATTATTTTCATCATGTCTTGTTCCTCGGGCGTTTTCCCTTGAAGATCAGCCTCTATAGAATAAAAATTCATAATTATGTTACACAAATATTTAAGATTATAAGAAATATATTTTTTTTAATTTTATAAAAAGACTTTATAACGAATTTTCAAATACATTTTTTAATATTAAACAATTCATACCTGTTATATTTGGCCTTTCACTAGTAACGACTTTATGTTTTGGTTTAGAATGATCCCTGTCCCTCGATCTAGATCTACTGTAAGATCTTCTATGTCTTTCTCGTTCTCTATCACGATCTCTAGATTTTACTCTATCTCTTTCAATAGATCTGAAATGGAAAATTTCAGTTTTTATTGAACGATATTTTTATAATAAGTTTAATAAATTTTTTTATTTATAAGTACTTTTAAAATTTAGAACAATACCTTCTTCTCCTTTCTCTGGAACGTCGCCTTCTTCGATCTCTATCACGATCTCGTTCTCTAGAGCGATCTCGCGAACGATCTCTTCTTCTTGGAGATGGTGTTCGACTTCTTCCCATTGCTTTCAGAAATGATTTATGCTATTGTGAAAGAAAAAGATTATCATAAAAATTCATGTAAAGAAATATTTAGCTTTTAAAAGCTTCAATTATACAATAATAGATACAGTTTAATTGACATTGCAGTAATTATTGGAACACCAACTGTCAAAAAAGCATTTTGGAGTAAAGTAAATGGAGCAAAATTAAGAAACTGCTATTGAATTATTTGATATACTTTCATAATAATCTCATCATAAATTACAGACAATTGATTAATTTAATACAATTACTTAAGAGATTAAAAAATGTGTAATGTATGATTAATAATAGTATAGACTCACCTTGTATTGTTTGTATTTTCTAAAACAATTGTTTGATATTTGTTCTTATAAATTTAAATGTTACATTTTTTAGATAAGATTATTCATCACATGTATATTCCATAATAATTAATTACCAATAAGGAGTAAATTTACAAAGATAAATAAAATTCGTAGAATTACGTTGTGTTTTGATGTTGAAATTCGTTCAACTCACTGGATTATAGAAACAGCTATAGTTTGAGATAAAATCGCATGGGGATGAGAAAAATTTCTGTTCCGGCACCATTGCTATGTTTATGCGCAGACTGAACATCGGCAGAGAAGAGAGACCAGAGCATAGAAGTCCAATGCTGTGTTAAAAATCCGGACGAAGTTTCGGTCAACATGTCGGTAATCTCAGGTCACAACATGAAAGTTTCTGTGAACCCATCGAGCGATGGCGCTGCAACGGTTTATTTCAGCCACGCCCCTTAATCTAAGAGAGAAAAGAGATAAGATTTGTGTTCTCTTTTACTCACATCACAAGAATCCTAAGCCAGTTAATTTTGAAGCACAAATTTTTAAATAGAAAAGGTCCAGCACGTAACTGTTCACAACATACATAAAAGCTATAAAACCAATTTGATATTCTTGTAACAGCGCAGAGGTAACACGCTCGACTACGGAAACGTACGTTTTGTGGTCAGGCCTATCAATGTTATATTTAATTAATCGTAATAATGAATTTTTTTAGGACAAATTTCATACACAATCACGCTGAAGGAGAGTAAAAAATGATGTATGACCGAAGCAATTTTTTTATAACAAATAACGATGTTTATAAGAAAAATAAAAGAGAATTTAATTATGCATGATAATAATGAGTCAAAGGCTTCGATAATGATATTTATAATATTAATAATATATTTTTAAAAAAATAATATTTAATAATATAACAATATTTTTTTAAAGAATATACTTTTTTAAAGAATATTGGGACCGCTCGAGAGGCCTGGAACTTGGTATCTGAAGAGTTTTTTAAAAAATTTTCTTGGGCAATAAAACCCCAGCAGCCTTAATCTCACAAACAGTAGGGACTTTTCGGAGTCTTATCTATCACAATAGATAGAAATGAGACAAATAACAAAATAATCTTTCCTCTGGGTTCCGTAGGGCAAGCCTACCCCACTTAAGACTTTCAATATAATTTTATCTTCATTTGAAATAAATGGGTCGGTAGCTTAGGGGTTGAGTGTTACCGTCGATGTGGGTAGGTACACATTGCTCTCGCTAATTAGTGATAATTTTTTCAATAAAGTGAGTAATAAAAATATAAAAAAGTAATAAAGAAATAATCAATAGATGCATCTAGTGTTCCTCAGTAACCTAATGTCTAAGTTGATCGAAGAAGATAAGTCAGCAGGGATAGAATCCCATATAAACGTAATCGACAACGAAGTGAGGTTAGAATCGAGACCAGCAATGCAGCAGACAAATAGAAGAACATCAGCAGCCGGCCCAGGCGCGGTAAAGAAAAAGTTTGCACAAGGGGGGAGTCATACTCACAACACCCGTAATAGTAGTAAAAGTTCAAATAAATTCCCCAATGCTCTCTCAATGGATAAATTATTTAATGAAGTCAGACTGAAGCATGGGTCACATATTGGTAAAGCGTTAAAAAAATACTCGAGAGGAAAGGGACAAACCCAACCCATGGCAGAAGCAACGAGCGCAAGCTCTTCGTCGGTCCATACAATGAATCAACCACCAAATCAATGGAAAATTGTAACTCCTAAACTAAGAAATAGAAAAAGAAGCAATACATCGACTTCATCTGAGAATCCAGAAATTATTAGTAATAATATATACACCCACACTTTCAAAAGAAGGAAGATTATGCAGTGCAAAAACTGTCAACGATTAGGGCATTCTAGTAGTAATTGTGCCCTTAAGTACAGATGTGTAGAGTGCACTAATGATCATAGCAGAGGTGAATGTCCTATTAAAGAAGAGACAAGGAAGGAGTCCCTTAACTGTGTAAATTGTGGCAACAGTGGTCACCCTGCATCATACAAAGGCTGCCCTTATATTCAATTATATGCTGGGCTGAAAGATGAAAAAATACGAATAAATAGTAAAAACAAAATAGTAACTAAACCTAAAAAAATGACCAAACACAAAATTGCTGATCTTAAACCAATAATTCCTGGAGTCTCATATGCGAATATTGTCAATACAGGTCCAAACACAAGTAGATGTGAGAATTTAAGAAGCCAAGCGGCCAATGAGCAACCAAAACAAGTAGTCCAACAGCCAAATGTCTCAAATCAACAGAATGTGCAGCCGGTGTGGGTCAACTCATTTAAGGAAGATCTATTAACAGCAATAGGTGTTAAACTCAAGCAGATATCAAACCAAGTGTCGAGCAACACAGAAAAAAAAGATTATATGTATATTCCAATCACTTAACCTAAAATGGAAATAAGAAACTCAAAGGAAAATAGAGGAAATAGTCCTACAGATCAAGTTGGACCACTAAGAATTAAAGACCTCAAGATTATTTCAATAAACGTTAACTCTATAATTCATAATAATAGAAGATATAATCTGTCAAACTTTTTGGACGAGCACTCCCCGGACATTGCACTATTGTCTGAAACAAAATTGAACAATAATCATAAGATAAGTCTAGACAGATACTTCATTTTCAGATCAGATAGGAAGAATGCAAAGCAAGGTGGGGGTACAGCAGGCCTGGTGTCAAGGGAAATAAAAACAGAGCATATTATTATTCCAGCAGTAGCTAAGTTCATGGTTATTGAGGTCACAATAATTAAAATAAAGATGGGTCAATCAAATCTGTTCATTGTCAGCATTTATGCAACTAATAGTGATAAGAGGAAAATCTTTATCAAGGAGCTTAACATATTATTCGAAGCCCTCAAACTATCTAAATCTAAGAATTATTACATCATGGCAGGCGATTTTAATGCTCGTTCTCCATTATGGGGGGACAAAGGCTCCAACCAAAGAGGAGAGTGCATCAAAAAATGGCTTGATGATGAGGGAATGGAAATAAGAGCGAGAATATACAGTTCTCTGGATCCAAAATTTACACCAGCGAACACATTTTTAGATTTTTGTCTGGCAGATAATAGGCTCACCTTCACCGACCTAGAGAATAACGAGAATATCAAAACTTTAGAATATGAAAGCGATTATTTAGCACTGTATGTTTAACTGAGACAATAGATATGCTGCAAGATATAGGCGACACACCCAGATGTAATTACAAGGCTACAGATTGGGATAACTTCAAGAGCTTCTTGGAGGTCAAATCAAAGATTGAGATCCCAGTTACTTCTAACATCACAAGAGGAAGGATAAACGAACTTCTGGAGCAATTAAATATCGAAATCTATGAAGCTATCACGGCCATCGTTCCGAAATCAAGTGGTAACTCAAACAGTGTGCTTAAATACGTAAATACCAAAATACAAAGACTTCAAAACAAGAAATCATGAAAGATTAAATAGTCTTATTTTATATTTATCGGTTTTATTTAAATAAGGAACAATTACATTTATTTAATATTACTTTTTGTCTGGGCACACAGAGTCAACTAACTGACTAGCAAAACGTACGCTCACGCACAGCCAGCCTCTCAATGTGGCCAACCACACCAATATAAATGTACCACACTCAACAAATCACAACTGTTGACTATTATCAGGAAAATTGAATCGGGAAAAGTAAAAGCAATTAAAAGGTTATTTGCATTCACCAAAGAGTTACTGGCTCACATAACCTATTTGATAAGAGTGGAATTTGATAAGGCTATTAAAAGGTACTGGCAGAGACAAATAAATGACATCGATTTCAGGTCGTCAGAAAACTTTTTTCCTAAAATTAATAGATATTTAAGGAAAAAACGCCGAATCTCTATAGAATCACTCAAGATTAGCAAACAAGAGGATGACAGACTTATCAAAAGAGCTAAAATCAACGAAACAGATCACGAAACGGAAAAAGGGAATATTATTATTTGTGATGAAGCTAGTAAGCTGAATATGATTAGCGCAGTCTTTGAAGAAATAAACTCCCCTAAGTCACTAAATAGTGGCCAACGACTTACGGACATCATTAATAGTAAAGTTAGCCCCTTGTTAGCAAGGTATGATGAAATACTGGAAAATGGAAATACAGTTACCAGCTTCAATGAAGAATGTAAAGCAGACGACCCAGGTACACTCTGCTCAGGGGGGTACAAATTATTCACAGATTCTTATGAAGTGTATGGGATCATCAAAAAGCTTCCAAATAAGACGTCAACTGGGATTGACAATATCCCGCCAATTGTCATAAAGAACCTACCGGATAATGTAATAAGAGCAATTACAGTCATTTTCAATCATGCAATTGATTGATGGTACTTTCCTGACGGCTGGAAAACAGCTAAATTGCTGCCACTATTAAAACCAGGTAAAGATGCTTCTGAGCTCAGAAGTTACCGCCCAATCAGCCTTACACCCTCGTTAAGCAAGGTATTTAAGGTTATCATCAATGCCATGCTTCCCTCCGTCCGAAGGACGGTAATGAGTACCTCGCCACTTTGGGCATAACTCTGGGAAATTATACTACACTACTATCTTAGCGATGGCATTTCCCGGGACGCATATACCTGCACCTAGAACAGGCACAGGGATACACGTAACAAGCCCGAGGCCTTACAACATACCACTATGAGTCCGACCTCAATTGGCCAGTTGTACCTGGTCCTACATGTCATATTTTGACTTTGCAGCCCCAGGCACAGGGCTTGGAATTTGGCCTCCCGTAGTACCAACTTTCTCCGCTTTGGTCGGCGGTCGCTAACGCGTCTCGCGCTCGGCGTGTTCGACGTACCCCCATTCAGACTGCCATATAGGGCAGTACGAAAGTGGGGTACGACGGATTATAGTCTAATCTGCCCCCGTTGTTGCGCGACATATCTTAAGAGCAGAGACATCTATGCAACCCCGGGGGCCCAAGGTTATCATCAATATCAGAATAGTAGATCACTGTGAGAAATTCTCTGTAATCCCACACAACCAATTCGGCTTTAAAAGAGGGCACTCATCCTGCCACGCCATTCTAAAGCTCTTGGCGGACATCATGCTCTATTCCGGGGACAAGTTAGTCGGGGCCATTTTGAGAGATATGGAAAAAGCTTTTGATTCAGTCTGGCAAAGTGGTCTCATTTATAAATTACTAAAGAAAAACTTTAACGAAAATCAAATATCATTAATAATGAGCATGATAAAAAATAAGAACTTTGTTACGTGGAACGGCAAAGGAACATCTTCTGAGATATTTTATGTGAAAGAGGGATTACAACAAGGTACAGTGAACTCCCCAGTCTTATTTAATATCTTCACAAGCGATTTTTTGAACGCCTTTAGATTGAATCAAGTTAGTCATGCCAAGTCAACTGTTTATACTGATGATCTCATCATATGTGACGCAAACAATAATGCTGAAAAGATAGATAGGGAATTGGCCTGCCTATTCTACAAAGTTGAATGAATCTACAGATGCTGGAATCTTAAAATAAATCCAAATGAATAGGGATGCATCATTCTCCATAGAAACTGGTCTCATCTCCTGACCAAGACAGCGAAAACGATAAAGCAATTCATAGTTGAAGTCAAAGATAATAATAAGGATGAAACAATGAGCACTAACAACAAGCTGGTAATCCAGAAGAAGAAAGTAGTAAAATACTTGGGCTTTCATCTGAATACTCTTGTAAAAGAAAATGCTCATGTGGAGATGGAGCTAAGTAAGGAAATTAAAACATTTACGGCAAAGAGTGCCACATTTTATACCAAACACCTGAGTAGAATGGCACAAATTATTGACGTTTTTTCATTGTTGATAACAATTACAGGCTGTTATAAACAAATTAATCTGCGAGAGTAGATATAGAGTCATCAGAGATCCCATCTAATCGATAATAAACACATTCCGCGAAAAAAACTAGAATCCATCAATTGTTGACGTTTTTTCATTGTTGATAACAATTACAGGCTGTAATGGATGAATTAATCTGCGAGAGTAGATATAGAGTCATCAGAGATCCCATCTAGTCGATGTTATATATATTCTGCGAAAAAAACTAGAATCGATTATTTATTGACGTTTTTTCATTGTTGATAACAGTTACAGGCTGTAACTAACGGAATTAAGGTTAGCACACTCGTCTACTCGTCGAATACTGTAGATATCTGTTGAAAAAGAATTTTTTTCTTTACTTTCGCGGGAGGGTTTACACAGCTACATATCAGTTGCAAAAAAACAACTGTTAATTACAAATATCAGTGCTCTGCAGTGATCTAAGTGCGACCCGAAAGGTCCACACGACTAACTTCCCAGTGGAGAAAATAAAAAAACACCATTTTTTTTTATTGTTATAATGATTATTATTATTAAAAGTAATATTTTCATTATAATTATAATTATTATTATTTTTATTTTGAATTTAAGCATAAAAATGCTGATAGAGGGTAAGACCCCCGCCACGGCCTCTATGCCCTCTGGGGTCTCCCCATCCTCGACCTCCTCCTCGTCCGCGACCACCTCCTCTTCCTTGACCACCATCTCTTCCTCTACCGCTTCCTCTTCCTCGTTCTCCAACTTTATTTGCTCCTCGTCCTCTATCTTTTCCTCTGCCCTTGCCTCCAATCCTTCCCCTCACGACTGATCGTCCTCCAACATAATTTTCCCCCTCAGCCTGTCTTTTCTCTTTCGGGGTGTGGTGAGCACCCCCATTCTTCCCTCTACCTGTAGATGATAATAATAATAATAATAATAATAAAAAGAAGAATAATAATAAAGTAATGAATAAATAAACAAGAAAAAGAAAAAAAAATAGTAAATAGATAAAAATTAATAAATAAATGAATATACAAAAAACAAATAAATAAACAATAAAAATGAATTAACGAATAAACAATAAATAAATAAAAAAATCAATATATAAACAATAAATAAACTAATAAATATATAAAAAACGAATAAATAAACAATAAAATAGATCAATAAATAAAAAAAATAAATGAATAGACAAATTAATATATGTATATAAAAAACAAACCGATAAACAATAAAATAAATCAATAAATTAAATAAAAATTAATTAATTAATAAATAAATCAATAAATAAATTAACCAATTTATGAACAAAAAAAAAAAAAGTAAATATGCAATGAAAAAATTAATAAATGAATAATTGAAAAAAAAGAAATAATAAATAAAAGAATAAATATATACATAAACAAGTAAAAATACAAATACATAAATTAACAAATAAATAAATCAATTAATAGATAAATCTTTAAATAAATCAACACATGAAAAAATTTTTAAATCAATAAAAAGTAGAAAAAAAACTAATCGATATTAAATAAAATTACAAATAAAAAAATCATAAGTTGCACTTAGTTTTTATTTTGGCTTCGGGGGGTACTTTGTTGGGAGGGAGCTCCGGAGATGCCATCTCGACGTCCGTAGGACCAGGGAGTTCTGATTGCAGAACTCTCCTGGTCATCGTGTCTAACAAGGAGCTCCCTTCCTCGCTCTTTTCCAACTTCTCCTTCAACATTTCCAGAAATTCTGGAAAAAAATAAATAAAATTATAAAAATGCATTCTCAAAGTAAGTAATCATGTATTATTCATTTATAAAAATAAATGATTACTTACTTTGAGAATCCATATTTTTTGTGTTCATAACAGATTTAATTGTTATAAACAAAAAGAATGAGTCTCCATTCATGTCGTACGGTTGGTAACTTTTTTTTAGCAAAAGAAAAAATTACGCGTTAAAAGAATTCAAATATATTGCATAGATCTCTATTTTTATTGTTCATAACAGTTAAAAAATTTTTTATTCAAATATTATTATGATCGATAATCATTTGTTATTAACAATGTTCAATCGTTATGAACACAATTTCTTATTATTAACAATAATCATTGACTATTTTATTTTTTCTCAACACTATTTTCTCCATCCCAACACAAGTTTAAAATTCTTTTATTGCTGATTTCGTTTTTTAAAAATTTTTTTTTCTATGAAATACTATCATCATATTTCTGTACAATTATTCTAAACATTTGATATCCATATTTTTCAAAAGATCTCGAAATTCCGTCTAAAAAATGGTATAATTTATAAATTGCAGAATTTAGGTAGTTCACTATTTTTTCAGTTTTTTGATTCTGCATAAAAAATGGCTGGACCGATTTCGCCGAAAATCTAATCAGTTCTAAAAAAATAATTCCGAACGCACGTACGAACATACGAACATACGCACACACAGACGTCCACGTAAAAACTATCGTATTCAACTCTGGGGACTTTGAAACGTGGAGATATGTCAAAATTTGGGATTCGCAAAATCGGACCCATTACTATAACTTCCCACTGGGAAGTTAATTAAGCCGTTTATTTACCTTTGATTAATAATATGTTTACTACAAATTTATTATTAATTGATATAAAGTTTAATTGATCAATAATCTTGTTGGAAATCAGCGTCTCCGACATATTTGAGTGTATAGGGCCTGTACGAGTGTTCGGCCCTAATCGGTTTCCCCCGTAGCCTTTCGGCTAACGTCTCTCGTCGTGCTCTTCACTTGATTCAAGTTGGTCGTCTATTACGGTTCAATAATATATTCATTGATAAATAAAGTTCTAATTTCTAATTAAACTAAGTCTTATTATTATTGTTTAAATCCTCATAACCTCTAACAGGTTATGGGCCCAGAGCTCGCTTTCACTGAGCAGATTAATAAAGTGTTTGTTAAATTATAAAAGGTGTAGTATAGAGAAACGTGTAAGTGATTTTGGAAAATCTAACAAAGAAGACTTGCAGTTTCAATGGCTGAAAACAAAGACAAAGAAGGATCGACAGTGTCGTCGAGTTAGTATCAATTCTTTTAAAGTAAAATGAACAAGAAAATTAATGTATACATTATTAAATGAAAGGCGGTTTGACGAGTGATGACACGGTTTGGAAAATAGTCAACGAGTGTCCAATGTTTAGCTAAAACAAAGAAATCATTGTTCATTTTACTGAATAAAGGTTATTTAAAATCTAGGCCTAGTATAAAAATAAATCATGATTAAGTACAAATAAATTAGAAACTAAGCACGATCGTGCGGCGAGGTTTGGCTTGGCGGGAATTTGAGAGTCCATTGTGACGACAATTGACGAGTTGTGCGCATGATCAGACAGTTGAACGGGAAAACGAGTGCTAGACAACGAGCGAAGGAATGTAGATGAAAAAAATAATAATAAACAAACAAATGAAAGACGCATTACTGGCTCTTTGTCTCGAACTACGGGCCAAATTCTCGCTACACTAAATTAAATAAAAGTTGATCAACTATAAAATATATGTTTGCATGTAAACTAACAATTCTTTTCATTCCTACAGCTCTTGAAATAGACACGTTAAATGAAATGCTTGATAACATGACATTTGAAAATGTTATGGTCAAGCTGGAGGGTGTGTTTATGCTTAAAGCAAACCACCCAAATGAGGAAATTGAGTTATCCCTGCATGAAAATTATATTTCACTAAAAACTCAGACGAGTGTTGAGTACAAAGCAGGTGAGCGAAGGGTATTTTATTTTATTTTTGAAATATTTCCAAGAAAATATGTATAGCTATACAAATGAAATTATAATTAAGATGCATCGTAAATTTAATTATTAAAAATCTCGAGTAACTGTGCATATTTAAAGCACGAATAATAAAAGACCTATGAATGTCTGAAGACATTCTAAATAATAATTTTTAAACCATTAAAATCAAATTACTCATGCTTGGTGGTTGAGTGCCGTGCATTTGGCTACTATGTATGAGAGTAGAGTTTGTATATGTGTAACCTTGTGTTCGGGTAAATGTATACTTGCTCGTCTTAGTCTGGAGAAACTTGTGTTCGGTGGATCCAGCTAACGACATGATTTAAAATCCTGCCAAATGTCAGATTTTTATTCTTTCTCAATATATTGCAGCTAAAACATTTGTTACCAAAGAGGAGTTGAAAGCGCTAGAAGTATGGCTGGACAAATGTAAGAAACAGGGCGTGAAAGCTGTGCTGCCGAGTACTGTAAAGAAACAGGAAATAGTTGATCCTGTAGAGGAACAATGGTTGGCTACGAGAATCAGCAACGACAGAACGAATGACGACAGTAGTGGTGACGACGGAAAGAGTGACGAGAGAATCAGTAACGACAGAACGAATGACGACAGTAGTGGTGACGACGGAAAGAGTGACGAGGGAACTAGATATGACGGAACTAGTTATAAGAGGAGTGTCAACACAACGAGAGCTATGATTCATAATGTAGAAGGAGATAATATAACTCAGTTGGCCACTGAGACAAAAGGTAAAGGTCTACCTAAAATAATTGAGACAAAACCGGTAAAAATATCTCTAAAGAAATTTAACGTTCCTAAACTATTGAATAAATCTGACAATAAAAATTGTTTAGATGACACAATTCAGAAACTAAACAAAAGACTGACGAAAAGGCGACTGCCTGGATACCTTGCTTCAATGCCATGGACAATATGCTGTTGCAGCAGTCCAAAATGTTGGCTAGCTTAACTGAAACTATGAAAAGCATGGAGAAAAGGCAATCAGAAATTATGGAAGAGTTATGTCGTAACCGACAAAATATGAGTGATCTGGGTAAACAAGTAGAGAAAATCGAGTGTAATATAAAACAGGTAAAAGAGTGTGAACCTGATGTGAGTTGCATGACCCAGAACAGAAGCTCAGACATCAATCTGGGAGAACCGAGTGGTCATAATTTAAATAGCAATGTAAGACAGAATGACGACAGATACGTTAGAGCTGATGATGTTAAAGATGCAATAAAGTATGAGATAATAAGTAAAGATGTGGGTACGCGCCGTGATTACAAATTAACTAATCAAACGAAATTTGAATACTTTTACGATTATTTTCTTCAGAATTGAGATCGCTTGAACTATTGTATGTAATTGACACGAGTGAAAAACCGACTAAAAATTATGATGCAAATACTTTGACAAAACATAAATTCAAAGTGCGTGATATTCTCATAAATCGTTTAGAGTCATACTATCACACAAAGGTAGCTCATTTAAAAGATCCTGTCGAAATACTAAATAAAATAAAAGAATTAAAACGATATGAGGTGAATTTAACTACTAGTATGATTAGAAGGAATTTTCACACCATGCAGTATTCACCAGATAAAGAGAGTGCTTCTGAGTTTTGTGAAAGGTTTGAAAACTGCATACGCGATATGGGAATATCTCAGACACTGCGACCTTTTCTGAGGAGGAAAAACGCGACACATTTTATAATGCTATTATGACCACGGTTCCTTCTGTTCAAGCTGTTGAGTTTATAAGAGTGAGTGGGACTGGTAAGGGTTTAGATTATGAGAGTCTGAAAATGTTTTTGATGCAGGCAGAGGCAAATCGAAATCAGACAAAATCAGGAGAGACCAGAGCAGCAATGACAGTTAAGAAAGGTACGAGTGCGAGATGTTATGAGTGCTCTGATTTTGGTCATATCAGTTATGATTGCCCCCGAAAAGGAACAGGTGTTGTGAAATGTTACGAGTGTAATAAGTTCACAAACCATAAGGCTGACGAGTGTCCTCAAAGACAGGAAAGACTAAAGAAGCAAGGATCTACGAGTGGTCGAGTTTATAAAAGAGGTAATGGCAGGTATAATTACAATAAAAACTTACAAAAATCTGGACAGATTAACGACAGACGACAGACATTGAAAAGGAGAAATGACGATAATACGAGAGGTTATAATTACAAGAGAGGCAGATTCAATCAAAATAAAGGTCAAATATGTTAATAAGAACTTCAAACAGCCCAAATCAAATAATGATGGGAATAAGAAATCAGCTGATACTGCAAAGGGTAAGTCATTCTTGGCTGATATTAACTCTAAGTTAAGAAACGATGATATTTTACACGAGTATAATGATGATAGAGAAAGAGTAAATAACGAAGGTAGATTAGTAGCCAAGTTCTTAGCCGACTCAGGTGCGACAGAACATCTCACAATTCTAGAATAATTTTTAAGACCCTGGACGTAAAAGACTACGGTACAATAAAATGTGCTAATAAAAATCCTTCAGCGGACCTGAGAACGGAGGGAGTAGGCCAGGTTGAAGTAATCCTGGACAATAACAAAGTTATGAAAATTGATAACGTTATATTTGCGGAGGCTCTTTCTGATAATCTTATGTCCCTGAGAAAATTCGCTGAAATGGGATTAGCAATATATTTAGATAAGAAAAGGATAAATATATTTGATCCAGTCTCGAATGAGCTATTCATTACAGGTGTTTATAATAAACCCTATTGGATTATTGAACTGGAAATCAATCGAGATACGGCTGGAAACGAGAGTAATATATGCGAAAGATCTAACAAATATATTTTAGCTGACTTGACGAGTGATTACAAAACAACTGTAAATGAAGCAAGATGTATGTGGCGAAACATTGCGACAGAAGACAAAACGAGTGCTGAGGAAAATTTTATTAACCGAACAGATATGAGCGAAAATGATAATGAGTGTACGAGAGCAAAGAAATCAAAAACAACAGATGAGACGATAGACGGTACAGAAAGAGTGGAAACGATTGAGAGCAGGCAAGAGAAAACGGGTGAAAACAAACGAGTGGAAGCGTGTGAAGAGGTACGAGTGAACGAATGGGAGAACAAAGTACAGACTGAAGACAGAGAAAGGAAGACCAATAGTAATACTCTGACTGGATACACTGAGTCAAGTATCACTGATGATCAGAATGTAAACATGAAAAATAAAATGTATCAAAACTTTAACTTTGAAACAACCATATGGGATAGGAAAATTAACGATCCAAATGAATTGCCGGTAACAGAAACAAACAGATATTGAATCTCCATTAAACGAGTGTAATAATAAAACAAATTATGACAAAGCAATGTTATGGCACGTCAGGCTGGGGCATGCTTCAGTAAATTATTTAAAGGCATTGCAAAGAAAATTACCCGAGAATAAAGAGCTTCAGAAGATCGTGTTCGATCAATCGATCATGGATTGTGAGATCTGTATGGTTTCTAAAATAAACAAGTTGCCATTTAAAACAGTGCGTAGACGAGCGAATGCTCCACTGGAGATTATACATTCAGATACGATGGGACCAATTAGTCCACCTTCTCATCCTAAAGGATACAAATTTATATCTGTATTCATTGATGACTATTCGCGATTGGCAATGGCATATGCGATGAAAGTTAAGAGTGATACGGGTGCTTGCTTTGAAGCATTTGTGAAGAGTGCGCGAAATCTGCTTGGAAAAGATGCCAAAGTGTGCTATTTACGCTCTGACCAGGGAACTGAATTTAAAGGTGGTTATACGACAGAGGTTTTAAATAAATTAGGTGCAGAGTTACAGGTCTCTAGTCCTGATACCCCTGAACATAACGGTGTTGCAGAGCGGTTTAATCAGACTATACAGAAGAAGGTGCGAGCCTACATGTATGATGCAAAATTACCCGAGAACATGTGGGATTGGCTTTGAGTGCAGCTGTCTATGCCTATAATAGGACCCCTCATAAAGCAAATGACATGATAACTCCTATGAGTAGATTTGCACCAAATCATAATTTTGATATAAACCAACTTAAACGTTTTGGCTGTATTGCCTACATTAAAGTTCAACGGAAGACTGGACCAAAGTTCCGTTTCGAAGGAAGACGAGTGGTGTTAGTTGGCTATACTCCCACTGGGTACCAATTTTTAAAACCTGAAGAAGGAAAATTTTACGAGAGCAGAGATGTGCGATTTAACGAGAAATTGGTTTTATGGCGACAAATACGGTAAAGACAGCATTAGAAACTGGCCAATTGAAGAGTGGAAAACAGAAAAAGACAAATGGTTTGTGGAATTCTCTGAAAATATAAACGAATGTACTGATAAGTTAAAAACGGAGGGAGAGATTCCAATAAAAAGAAAAAGAGGAAGACCTAGGAAAAATCCTGTAATAACAGACACGAATGTGACGAGTGATAACATAATAACAAATAATAATGGGCAGAGTGAATTAAGCATGAGTGATAGAGAAATTGAAGGTAAAATTATGTTTACATCTAAACTAAATGACGACTATGATAGAAAAATAGAAAACCTAGAAGATGAAATGTATTGTGCAATGCTGGCAAGAATAAATGAGGATCCTGCTACCTACAGACAAGCCATGTCATCGAGTGAATCTATTTACTGGAAAGAAGCAGTAGATAATGAGTTGAAATCAATGTCGGAAAATAACGTGTGGGAAATCATTGATCGACCAAAACTAACGAGTGATGGTAAACGAGCGAATATAATTGATTCTCGATGGGTATTAAAAGGAAAGTAAAGGATGATGGTGAAATAAGACACAAGGCAAGACTGGTTATACGAGGGTTCAAAGACAGAAACGTCTACGAGCTGAAAGAGACTTATGCTCCGGTGTCCAGACTACCACTAGTTCGAGCTGTGCTGGCCATTATAAATAAATATGATCTGGAAGTTTGTCAGCTAGATGTGCAAACTGCTTTCCTCAATGGGACGATTGATGAGGAAATTTTCATGGAAATACCTGATGGAATTGAAATAAGTGATACCGACAGACGAGAGAAAGTATGCAAACTAAAACGAGCGTTATATGGTTTGAAAATAAGTCCAAAACGTTGGAACAAAAGGTTTACAGAAGTAGCTCTAGGTATAGGCCTGATTAATTGCAATGAAGAACCATGTTTGTTTACCTGGCGGAATAATAAGAAGTTTTTGATTTTACTGTTGTACGTTGATGATATTTTAGTTGCAAGTAATGATGAGAATAAACTGAAAGAAGTGAAAGAACGATTAAAAAGTGAATTTAAAATGACAGATTTAGGTGTACCAAAAGAATTTTTGGGTATTGGTATAACGAGAGATAGGAAAAATAAAATATTGGTCCTGAATCAAAAACGGTACATAGAGAAGATACTGAAGAGATTTAATTTTTCAGAATCACATCCACAGAAAAACTCCTATGATTACAACACAGGCGGCCAACAGAGAACGAAAGCTTAGAGAAGAGAGTGAGGATCCAGAGCTGCTACGAGTGACAAAAACGAATGAAAATATTCCGTATAGAGAAGCTGTTGGAAGTCTATTGTATCTGGCTGGTGCAACACGACCAGATATAGCTTATGCAGTCAATGTGCTAAGTAGACATCAAATAAATCCAGTGGATAATGACTGGAAAATGGTGAAACGAGTGTTTAGATATTTAAAAGGAACGACGGATGTAGGACTGAATTATTTGTCTAATCAGGATGATCTAAGAGCGTATTCGGATGCTAGCTTTGCTGATTGCAAAGGCTCCATCACAACGAGTGGATTTTTAATACAACTGTATGGAGATACAATAGCCTGGAAGTCTCATAAACAAAATTATGTAGCACTATCGACTTGTCAGGCAGAATACGTTGCGATGAGCGAAGCAAGTCAAGAGTTGATTGCTATGAACAATTCTCTTAAAATAATCTTGGATCAATCATTTACTCCAATGCAACTATGGTGTGACAACAAAGCAGCTGAGGCGAGTGCACAGACGAGTGGTGGAAATAAGCTGAGACATATGACTGAAGTGAGAGAACACTATGTGAAAGAGTGTGTAGAAAGAAACTTCATTAAAATAGGCTGGATTCCTTCAAGGAATCAAATAGCAGATCTATTTACTAAACCTCTTCCCTATGGGACTTTTAAACGACTGACAGAAATTGTGTTGAACAAGACGAGTGACAATACTGAGTGACGAATGTAACGACTGAAACCATTTGAAAATTAATTTGTTTTAATTACAGGTAATGGATCTGATCAATCTAAAGAATGAGAGTTAAACGAGAGGAGAAACAGAAGTTAATGAGACGACCAATTGCCAAAGCAAGGAACCAAAAGACTGAATCTGTTCCTATAACTGGATTTAAGTTTGTTATTGTTAAAAAGTTCATATATATTTGTAAACATATCATATTTTGTATTTGAGATTTGAGACTTGACGCAAATATGTGAAGACGGGAGGGAGTGTTGGAAATCAGCGTCTCCGACATATTGAGTGTATAGGGCCTGTACGAGTGTTCGGCCCTAATCGGTTTCCCC